ACACAACTACAAACACAACTACAAAGACACAATCACAAACACATAACCACAAACACACAACCACAACCACACAACCACAAACACACAATCACAAACACAATCACAAACACAAATACAATCACAAACACGACCCACAATCACAAACACAATCACAAACACACAACTACAAACACAACTACAAAGACACAATCACAAACACACAATCACAAACACATAACCACAAACACAAAACCACAAACACACAACTACAAACACAACCACAAACATACACACAACACAAAACCACAAACAAACACACAACACACAACCACAAACACACACACACACAAACACACAAACACAAACACACAACCACAAACACACAACCACACAACCACAAACACAACCACAAACACATCCACAAACACAACCACAAACACACAGCCACAACCACAAGTACAAACACACAATCACAAAGACACAACCACAACCACAACCACGACTACAAACACATAATCACAAAGACACAGCCACAACCACAACTACAAACACATAATCACAACCTCTACCACTTCCAGAAACACAACTACAAACACATCCACAAACACACAACCGCAAACACAACTACAAACACACAATCACAAAGACACAACCACAACCACAACTACAAACACACAATCACAAAGACACAACCACAACCACAACTACAAACACACAATCACAACCGCAACCACAACCACAAACACACAACCACAAACACACAACCACAAACACAACCACAAACACAACCACAAACACACAACCACAAACACAACCACAACCACAACACAGCACACAACCACAGCACACAACCCGAGGACCCACAAGCAACATCGAGAACTACAATACTAACGACTATGGCAACATGCTCCTCACTATGGCATCAAGACAAATGATTGAAATGTCATGGTGGGGATCACTCGAAGTAAAGTAGTTGACGTTTCAAGAGTTTTTGGACAGCAGTCACATGCCGTGCCCTTCAACACAATGTCTAGCAGCATTGATCCAAACGAGGCCTTTGCTCCTACAGACATGAGAGAGGATCTGGTGGCCAAAACACGCAGCCCCGATGACCTTCAAAAAGAGACGCCCGCCAAAAGGACCCGGCAAGCCCCGGGACCTTTTGGCGAGTGACTCTTTTTATCATCGTTCCCATTTCGTGCACTTTTTGACTTTTCGCGACTTTTCGCAACTTTTCGACTTTTCGCAACTTTTCGACTTTTCGCGACTTTTCGCAAAAAGTTCGGAGAGCAAGTAGATCCAGCTCACACATTTAGCAACCACAGCAGATTTCTGGGGTGTGGCTTCTTGGTGGATGGATAGCAGGTTACACCCGGGAAGATTTACATGGAACCTGAAAATGGACCTTTGGAAGACGCTAGCTTCCTCCACAAATCAGTTGTATTCAGGTTCCATGTGTGTCTCGGAAACAGGGCGTAGTTCGGTTGTTTTTGACCTTCAATGAGGGAGCCAGAAACAACACTCACACGCCGTGAGTGAACAAAAGGTAGATTGATCTGGTCCTCCGCTCAATATGGCTCACTGCGACAGGAAGGACAGATGCAACACGAGGGCCCGAGTATAGAGTTTGGGGGCATCCTATTACCTGTAACAGTCGATAGACAATTATCACCACTTTAGACTGAGGAAGGCCTGCCTGCAACTGAACCATCCTCATCCACTGGGCCCAGGGAATAGGACACACCCAATATACCCAAATGTAAGTATGATTCCAGGAGGGTAGAGGTGCTGATTGAGGATGTCAGACAGCGTTTGTTCGAGATGTTCCAGGTTGTTCACTTATATTTGCTTGTGTTTTGTTAACTGCTAAGATCAGTCCGCCCACTTAGACCACACAACACGGGTAGCTTCTTCCAGTTCCTTTCAGGTGTGGTCGGTCATCTTATCATCTTGGTCGGATGTCTTCGAGAAGATGATGAGCCACAACTTGAAAGAAAAAGCAGAGCAAGAAGTGGCCGCTAGGCTGATACTAGCCACTTCAGAACAAAACAAATAGCTGTATTATAGCTATATTATAGAATAGCTTGAGAGTTACTTTTCAGATGGCCTTCCGGTTGAAGTTCAAGAGTCTACTGAGAGAGAGAGAGAGAAAGAGAGAGAACGCTCCATAGCGAAAGTGCAATAGTGCCCTACCCGAATATAGATGCAGCAGTTGATGCACTTGTAGGGAATTTTATATATGTCAAAACAAGGAAAAACTGCACGATGCTACCAGAAAAGTCTCCCTAGATCATTTGCAAAACCCGAGGAGTCTCAAGGTAATCATGTGCCATAACCTATACCAATGACCAGTTCCTTCTTCTCCAAGAAGGTGTGGTTGGAACTAGCTGGTTACATTTAAAAACAATTTCGACCTCTCATACACTGGGTGGCAGTGAGATGTGTCGGCGTCAAGCCACTGCCTACTCCTCAGGTCATTCAAGACTTCTCATCGCACGGAGTGGAGGCGACGACTGGGTGATGGGGTGGTGCCACGGGCTTCCCCCGCTCGCAGGTATGGATGGGTACTTATTATGGGTCCAGAAATCCGACCTTGAAGCAGCAGGTGCAGCAGATCCTCACCCCTTGTTGGTTCTAAGTAGCAAGTAGTGATCTGAAGAGAATAAAGACATCTTCAGAGATCCATTCATCCTTCCTCGCCACAATATGGGGTGGGCGTCAACAAGATTCGCATGATTAACTTTTTCACTGATCAAGCATGTCAAAGCGGGTTCGTCCATGTTTGTCCTGACTGTATGCCCTAAAGTAGCTGCATATGCCCGCATATTTGCCCATTCGTTGGCCTTCCAGCCCGTCACTATATCTTCTCTTTTTGGAGAAGGCTTGTTGTTGTTTTAATGTCCAACGCTATCCCTAGTGTCATTTCTGCTTTCACGTTCTTCTTGACTTTCATCGGTTCGTTGGGACCTCAACAACCGAATCTGTTGAACAGATCTAACATTCATTCTGTTGATCGGCCTGTCCGTGCGGCTGCTTCCACACCGATCCACCAGGCTTTTCTGCGCTTCCTCTACTCCGGGACGTTGGAAGGATCGTTGTCGACACTAGTGGAGGTCGTGGCCATCGCTGACAAGTACCAGGTGTCCAAGCTGTCGCGCCATTGTGCCTTTGACTCAAGTGTCGAAAGGTCACCTTTCCAAGACAGCTGTTGTTTGGGATCATGTAAGTTCTGAAAACATTTTTGTGTGCATGTTAGATCCTACATCGATATATAGCTTTCTTGTTGCTTCCTTGAAGAACACATAATATATACTGGGAGGGGCACCTGAACTGCATTGAACACCTCGCACTGGCAAAGTCATTTGCTGCCCGTCATGAGGTACGTGTGCAAACCTCTTGGCAAGCCTTTTGAAGATAGAGTGGTTCTAGATGGTTCAAGTATATACACTGAAGCATTCACCTCTATATTCAATTTTACATGTAAGTGTTGTCATGTAAGCCGTGACTGCTTTTTTTGCTCGTCATCGGCTTAACATGGTTTGAAGCTATTGTTTGTACATTATTGCTCTAGAATAGATCAATTCGCCGAGTCATTGTGGGCATGTTTCCTGAGACCGCTCACCCAGAAGGGACAGTCGCACGGAACTGATCTCAATGGTTTGATACGAGCTCGGAGTTTCCTCCGAACAAACTGCTTTAGCCGCCACAGACTTCTTTGCAAGCATTTTGCGAGGGTCGCTTACCTAGTGCAACACATGGTGACCAAGTCTAGAACGCTTCCATATCAGTTTCAGCACAGTTTTTCGCGCTGGTTGTGACAGCTCAGGCCAAGACGTGCTGGCTGATCAGCTCAGTGCAGAAACTGCATGGAGTATCTTTGAGGCAGCTGACTGCTTTCAACTGGAAGAGCTTCGGGAAGAGTCGTTGCACGCCATCCTCAAAGAGCCCAAGGTAGCTTTGGCCAAGCGACCTTCCAGCGAGACTCTCTTGAACGAAGTCTTGAGCAGTGACTTGCTTTGCATTTCGCACGAGGAGTTGCTGAACCTTCTCGTGAAGTGGGAGGAGGTTGAAGGTTGTGAGAGCCGGATCAATTTCATAGAGAAGTATGTTTCTATGGAAAACATATCCCAAGAGAAGCTTCGTGTCTTGAAGAATGTCGTCGTCGATGATTCCCAGTTCCAGCGTCTCCGGTCGCTGAAGTTGGCGTGCGCACGCAGTGAGTATACAAATGATGCAATTCAACGCATTTTGCAGCACTTTGGCGGTTTCAATGGCGGCATTGACCAAACTCAATCTTTTCTATCAAATTGGGTGAACGTGCTCTACAGTCGGAGCTTCAGTCCTGGGCACATAGTACAGACCGCTTACCAATGTGGTGTATATAGTCGTAAGCTGACAGCCGGGAATTGGTTCGAGTGGCGACTTCCCCACTTTGCTGTCAAGCTTCAAGCACTCCGATTTCCTGTTTCTGATGTTCCAAACGACGAACATGTTTTGTTGTCATGCGGCAGTGACAGCTCGGAGTTGAAGCCGGTGTTCTCCTCCAGAGATCATGGCCATATCTCAAAAGGCCAAGCTATCAAGTGCAGGTGCGACATCCTTGTGCAACGCTTCAGGGTGGAGGTGAGCCAAGGAAGCTTTCATCTTGGCAACATGAAATTTGAAGGCTTCCTGCAGGAGACGGCCGATTGAGACTTGGCGAGTCTTGAAGGGTCTCCCCTCCCGGCCACATTTTTTGTTTTCGTGTTGGAATAGGTGGAAAAAGAGGATCGGCTGCAGCGGAGGAAATTGGGCAGAGGGCAGGTTCTGTTGTCAGAAGTCAACATGTGGCTACAACCTCGCGTATATCCTATATGATGTATGTCTTTCTTGATGGAAGGAACATCTAGAGTTCCATAGATTGCTTGTTTGCGGCAATGATTTTGTTTGCCAGCTGGTGCAGCATTTTCAAGGGACAATACTATATGTTTTGTTTGCGAACGGTGTGAGGAGATCCTCTCAGTCCAAACCGTCAACCGCAGGCACCTGGCACATTTTAGCTGGATGCCCGAAGAGGACCTGGTACTGCAGCAGCGGATGATGTGGTATCCTCGCTTAGAGTCTCACCCAGAAGGTAGATTGTATTGGGAGAACTGTAGGTACTGGAGCAGTACTATTGGCTACTTGCATTGCAGGTAGGTATGTTTGAAGGTATAGGACCTACATTTACCCATGTCTTGCTTGGAGTAGGACATTCTTAGCAGTTCAAGGTAGACTTCAATGTCTTAAATTTGAACGATGGATGTGACCAGAAAGAATATAGGTGCATGTGCGCATGAGGAGGTGCACTTTCGGAAGTTTGATGCCCAACAGACGATGAATTGTAAAGCTGCTTCCTAGCTTGCTGAACTGATGACCTTAGGAGTCCCAGAAAGAATAACAACCCAGGTCTTGAACATGGTTTTCCTCCCCTGGTAATTGATTGCCTTGTCTTTTTATGCATGAGGAAAGGTAAAGCTCGTAGACCTGTTTGGTCACATGTCCACTTTCAAACCTGTTTGGTAGAGATGTTCGGCCATATTCCACCATCTTCCCAGGAGGCAGATGTCAGCCAATCAACTCACCAAGTCAGTCCTTTGCCCGAATTACCTGCGACCTACCAGGGGGCCCCCAAACCATCAAACACCTGGTTTTCTCTGGCAAAACACCTGGTTTTTCTAATGTTTCATGGGAACTGAGGGCCGCTGGTACTCCCAGCTGTGGAGCGTCACGGAGAACCCCGAAGCGATGCGCGAAGGATCTGACGATCTTCGAAGCCTTGGGGGAGCAGCTGACCTTCGTCCCGGGCGATACGCATGATGCCAGGTTCAAGCTGCAGGCGCGAAGGATGTCCTGGGCCACGCAAAACCACGATTCACAGAGGTATTGCAAAACTGTTGTGGAGGTTTAGGAGGCTTTACCTCAGTTCAGCTCATAAAAGGGTGTTCTTATTTGCTTCCACTGAGCAGCAGCAGTCGAGCACTCCGTCCAGACTTTTTGCACCAATCGCAGTGCCCAACTTGCAGGACTGTGCATGACTTTCAGATTAAAGAACTTGGTCGGAATGAAAGAGTATGACCCTGCAGGTGAATGGCCTCATTTTACTGGAGTGGTCATACAAAAATACTAGTCAAGGAGGTTAGGTAGACCAGGTGTTACTGGATCAGACCGGACTTGTAGGGATATACCTCGAAGTCCTTTTGCATCCTGCCTCACTGTTTGTAGCAGACACTTTTTTTCCACTTGTTGGACGTGCCAGAAGCCAAAGATGCAATTAAGTGATTAAGTGGGTTGTACAACAGACCTGGAGATTAAACACATTAGATGGATGTGTCTCCACACCACACCGCGATACTCTTGGGGCCCAAGGATTATCATCTGTCGCGACCCCCAAGCTACAGGTTACCATCGTTTCGTGGTTTTGTGGGTCGATAATTTGTATTTTGACCCAATACTCATATGGGTGTGTTTGTGTGTGTATGGGTAAAGAAGCAATTAACCATACTTAAATCTTTCTTCAGAATCTGAATCGTCACATATCATATATATATATATATCATATATATGGGTATAGGGGTGCACACCTTTTCACATGTGTGTCTCATATGTCATTCTTCAGATCATGAAGGGTGTCTCATTCTTCAGAATTTTTGCTGATGACATCCAGGTTTGTCGCCCCTCACGGCGCAGCTGTCGCACAGCAATGGATGCCGTGGGGGTGCCTGGAAAGGGATTCTTAACGCAAGAAATACCCTTTGGATAGCTCAGATAGTCATTCATGGACCTTGAACACTTGGTAGACCAGTATCCTTTCTCACTCAGGGCATTCCATTTGGATCCATTTGGTGTGGAGAGTGAGTGATACGACTACTATCTTCCAAGGCCTCACCTTCAGTCTCGGTCTAGTCAAAAAAACTCACTCAAGGGTCCATGCGTAGATTCTTCGATCAGTTGTAGTGCAAGACTGCCTGAAAAATATGAAAATGAGTTTTCCAAGCCGGAGTTGCCAATTTGTTGTTCTGTAACCAGATATCACTGTAAGCTTAAACGTCTCAGCCTAAGTCGATAGCCATCATCATGGGGTAGGTAGGCCTCAAGCATTGCACCGCATCCCAAGGAAGGACAGAACCATATGCAAACATCGCAGGATCTTTGGAAGCCTTTCTTCAAATCAACACCGCCCTGAGGTCGCTGGCACCAAGTCGCCAGCGCTTCAGCGAGTGGTGGAAGAGCTGTGCCAGAAACTCGACGATCTTGTCTTTGTTCAGTTTCAGGGGGTTGAGGTGGCTCGAAGACCCACAGAGCCATAAATGTTTGCGATCCTTATGATATTGCCTGTTCATGCCAACTTCTGCAAAACAGAGTTTGCATCATATATATATATGCTTCTCATGTTATGGGTGGCGGTGGCGTTTTAACAACGGGAGGAACGGATGCATCGTAAATAGTAAAGGCGCGACAGTTGGTTGGTCGGGTCTTGCATGTTCGAGTCGCACAGAGCCATCTCAGGGTAGCTTGTGCACTGCGAGGAAGACCCTCGTTCGGAGCGAGACATTTGCCGTGAGGGTGCCAGTTCCAAGTGGCGAACTGATCCAGTACTGCAGCTCACTTGACTGAGTAGGAGAGGCTTAAAGGTTTAAACTTTCACACACTTTTGCAAGTACCCTCATGATGGGCTAACATTGCCAGGAATATCGGGGATTATAGGGGAAAGTGTCCTTTGATTCATGTCGAGTTTTTTTGGACTTTTGGGTTGGGGATGTTTGTGGTGCCCAATGGAGGTAACCCCTTTTGGGTGGTCCTGGTGCAGGTGGTACCGGAGTATATTTCTGTTGCGCACCCACACCATTGAGGATCTTCCAGATGGAGCTCCATCGCTGCTGGGTCAACTTGCAGCTCGTTGAATCATGGAGCTCGTGGAGTCGTGTGTTTCAAAGAATGGGCCACAGGGGCATGCCAGACCACCGAAAGGCGAGCAGTTTATTAGCTCCAAGGACTTTTTCGGATGAAAGCTGTCGGATGTAGGGATTTTCGAGAAGTCTGTTTGAAATTGTACGATACCTGAAAGTTTGATCGTAGTTTCGGCGCCTTCAAGCTTGTGAGGGTGGCACTTTTTGTTCAAACAAAAGGAGATTGGGAAGGTGCAACAAAACACCATTTATAAGATCCATTTAGTTCAACAGTCTGTGTGGTTTTGCTACTTCTTTGGCACTGATAGGCCATTGGGCTGACCAATTTGCTGTCCAACCAACTGCAAAGTCAAGGAGCCATGAACTATCGAATCATGTCCTTCCCTTAGCCAACCATTTCAAGTCACCTCGGTGGGCATCAACTTCACACCTTGAAGTCCAAAGTGGTCCGTTTTTAAGGGCAACTTTCCTAAACACGGCGCCTTTGCAAAAGGAGCCTTCTTTTTAGGCGACTTTGTGATTGCCCTCATAAATTACGACAACTTTGGCAAAACCTTTGAAATGCCTTGGATTCTGTCTGATCGGAAAGGCACCCTGGATCACCCTGGCATGTTTTGATTGTTTTCCTTCAAGGCTGCAGGTTGTGATCATGTGCCACAGGTGAAACACATATTCAAGAAGCAGCTGGTGCGTGCCCTATGCCAAGCAGAACAGTAAACCACAAGTTTGCACATATGAAGCTGCTCATACGCAACAACTCTTTATGAGAGGGAGAGATGCATATATATAAACAACATATATGACTTGCCATCTTCCTATAAGCCACCATCATGAAGGCACTCCATGACATGGCACACAGCCGGTGGCCCTGCTCATGAGCACCTGTCGGCCTTGGAGCAACATCGTGTGTGTGGAGGCAGGGGTCACTTTTTTGGGGTGTGGCCTGAGGAACATGCAGGGCATATACATATAGGATAAGCAAAGTCAAACTCAATTGCTGGGATACCGTGCTATGAGACCGTGGCCAAGATGGTTGCCAACGAGCATGTATAAAAGGGATGAAGCCGGAACAAGTCTCATGCTCAAATGAGAAAACAATGGTTTGATCATTTTTGGTCGGTGGCTCTGTAAGTATATGGTTTCCACAGGGCATTTTGATATAAGATTATTTTCAAAACTGGTTGGGGTCTTGTCAATGAGCCGTGTAACCCGGTGCCCTTCTTCTGTGGGCGCTGTGTCTCAGCTGGCTTTCAACTTCCAGTCCTAGCACACTTCAATTATCAGTCCCTCACCATGCCTCACCATCGGTGAGGCACCTTCACTATTTGGTTTCCTATCGATCGAGAAGCTTTTGAGGCGCGGCTGAGCTCACACATGGCATATGGGGCACTTCAACCCCATGCAAACCCAATGCTTGTCAAGAATGGGACCTGCAGTCAAGAAACAACTTTCCAAATCATTGATATCAATTAAGTCCTTTCACTACAATACTGCAATCAATGTGCATGATATACAATACTCAAATATAGAGGATTGTGCCCCCCATCATCGCCGCTCGATGCAGGTTCTTCTACACACACGTGCACGCTGACACTTCCAAAGGCTTGGGATGGGCGGTTTGGGGTGGGAATGGATGGGGGTGGCTTCGTGCTCGTGCATCTTTCATGCTTGCACTTCTGCAGCCTTTACTGTGTTGGTTGATCTGTGGTAGACTTTTCTATAGTGCTTCCAGCAATCGCCATGACTGGTGGCGACTTGGGGAAGAAATGGGAGATGATTGGCAGGGTTAGGAACAGATTTCGACGAAATGAGCCATGGATTCGTTTGGCAACAACTGATGACAACGAGGTCGTGGAACGATGCATGAAGTCCTTGTCCTTCAATGTTGAAACCCTCACGACCATCTTTGAGACTTGTGGCTTGACCCGCTTCAAAGTCAAGGTTCTCGAGAAACAGGTCTGGTTTTTGAAGCTGCTACTGCTAACTGTTTATATAGTAAAAAAATAGTGAAATTAAACAAGTTTTCTATAGATATATGTGACGTGAGTTGCTCACAGTTGCCCCTTATAGGTGAAGGAGCTCTTTAAACGCATTGGTTACATCCCTGAAGAGCCCAAGCAAGCATGGAAGGATGCCTGGGCCATCCGTCAACTCCTTGCTTACGCCATCAAACGTCAAGCGGACTCAAAACGGAGGAAGCAATCGTGCAGGGTGGCTAGGACAAAAAGTAAAGTTTTGGAAACGATACTTTAATATATGCAACCACAACAAAGGATGCGTCAATAACACATTCCTCTAAACAGCGGACGTGAAAACTATAGGCCCCAAAGAAACCGGCCATGGCTGAGGACCCCAACGTCCAGAAGCTTTTCGACTTGATCAAACGTCTTCGTCGTGATGATGGCAGCAGCGGATCTCCTCCTTCACGCGATGCGGATGAGGGTGACGGGGGTGACGAGAGTGATGGGGAGGACCGGAAGGTGGGTTCAAAGAGAGGCATGCTGGCCAGTGCCCCCCAGGAAGGTAAAGGAGAAACACGTTGAGCAGGCTGAGGTGGTCACCACCAAAGCCAAAAAGCAGATTAAGGGTGTGAATCCTGCCCCTGCTATCGAGACCAGACCTCGTACATCATCCAGTTCGGGAAGGTCAAAGGATCAGGTTGAATATGATCTGGTAATGACCGAGATCAAAGAACTGGAAGCTGAACTAGCGTTACTCGCCTGAGCTAATGTGAGTTGTGTTTTTTTTGACTGGCAGATTTGGCACGCCCTCTTCCTAAATCCTCCAAACAAAAACATTGATTGCATTTTGAGGCTTGCTGGTGAAGGCTCCTCGACTGCCTCCCGCAATTTTTGTTTTTTTGGTGAAGGGCTTGTACTGTATATGTTATATGCGGGCGTGGCACGTCATATACTACGGGTTCAAAAGAGATGTTCAAAGATAAATCCGATGTTGTTATGCAGCTCTCCGATCTAGGTGGCCCCATCGATGTCATCGAGTTGACAGACAGCCCGGCCGACCCTGCTCGTCCTCCTCTAAAGCGCTGCCGCACCAAGCAGCCTCAGCCAAAGTGTGCATCTGACCAGGCCGTGGGATTCAAAATGGTTATAATGTATCAGTTGTGTACGGACGTGTTTGACTGGCATGCCGCATGCATACCGTGTGAACAGGCATCATTACGGAATACGATATAAGTTTTTTTGCATCCATCTTGCAGGACGAAACGCAGCCTATGGAGAGGACAGCTCATGCTCCCGGTTCTGAAGTCAATGAGCTTCATGTCCCTACTGCGGAAGCAAAGGTTGGACGACTGGCAACAAGTGTTGAAGTAGAGTCACATTTTTGATATATGTCTCATAGGCCATCCCTATATGTCTATATATAGCATTTATTTATGTGTGCTGAAATATAATATACAAACACTATATACAGCTCCCCCTGAGGTTCAACTCAAGGTCACGCCAGAGGACCAATGTGGCTTGCGCAGGAAGCTTGCTCCACAAAAGCGGAGGGGTCGAAAGCCAAAGGGGAAGACCACCACTGTCACGAAGAAATCCAAGACCAAGGACAAAGCTGAGAAAACATCAAAACCGCGGAGCAAGGGCAAGGCCAAGGCTGCGGCCAAGCCTAAGCAAACAAAGAAGAGACCTACCAAGAAGGGCGTGTCACATGATGAACCTCCAGGTGATGAGCACACTGGTTGTCCTGAGCCAGCTGGGAGGAAGAAATGTGAAGCCTTCGAGCGCACATATGGATGTTCTCGGTGCAGGTATGCAGCCAAAGGTTGTAAAACCTGCCGCCAGCCCGGATTCAAACCCCGAGGCCCACGCCAGGAGGTCGCCAAACCTGGACCTGTCGACGTGGATTGATGTGCCCACAATAGTTTTTTTGTGATGGGTCAGGGTAGCTCCACAACTTTTGCTGATGCAGTTCCCTTCCAATATATCATCATACGGCAGTATGTGTTTGGGCTGGGCAACGTCAAATGCACAGCGTGCTCAATCAACACGTTCGTATTTCAATTTTAGCATTGGTGCAGGGAAACCCTTGCACCCGCTGTTGGCAAGCTTAGAGGCGACTTGTTGAGCTTGAGGGGCGCAAGCTCACACATGGCTAGCCATGCTTGGCTTCAGAAGCTCTTGAGGGTCACATGGTGTCAAAACAAAAAACTATAATATATATATATATAGAGATTATTTCTGATATATATATAATATTAAAGCGCTTTGAAAAGCATATGGTTGTAGAATGGGCCAGGCGGCCAGTGTTTGCTCCAGATGAGTATTAAGGTGAAGCACTTGTTTGCAACTTTGCTGGCCCGGCCAGGCCTCCAGTGCAGCCCAACTTCAGCAATCTCCAAGGACCAAGGCCTGCAAACATGAACTTGCATCGGTCACAGAGCAATCACAAATATAGGGATCGATGACATTATCTTGATCAAGCTTAATGCAACCTGCATACTTTATAACGCAAGGACCGTGATTGAGTGTTCTGCCTGCATGCAGGTGCTTGTGCGCCTGAACTATGAGTAAGGCGTGGAAGATCCGGAGAACCTGCTTGAAAGGTGCCGTTCCACCTTTGCCATGCATGCAGAGTTGTTTGAAATAAAGAGTAAGTTTGGGAGGGTGGATTGCGGTGAGCTTGGACTCGCATAAGATTTGATCGTGCGTGCATGACTCTATATATACGCAGGATTTTGGAGCGTAGTATATAGACCCTCGATATGCCATGGCTGGACTGCATCCAGACTTTGTGCGTCGTCTTTTATTGATTCGAGCCCCAGGGGTGGCCTAGTTGCACGCATATACTTGATGTCCCCAAGAACGTTTTACACACCATGGGACGCTTCCCCGCATAAGGTCATTCTTTTGATCATCCTCCTTCTGCTTTGGACGGATGGCATCAAGACTAACAAGGCCGTGCCAACATGCCTGTGTTGCAGCTTGCTCCCCCCCCAAAATATGAGTCATGGCTTGATGTTG